ACATCTCCCGTGTGTCCCACACCGTATGTGTTCTGTGCCTCGTGTCCAGTGTCCTGCAGATCCCATGTTACATCCATGCTGTGTCCATCGCGTGTCCGTCCCATGTCGTCACAGCTCCATCCCGGACCTGCCCTGACTCCGGCTCCTCCGTGGGGACCCCTCTCCACCCCTCTCCATTTTGCAGGGTGCCCCCCCAGGCTGGTTGGGGCCGATGTAGTGCAGGAGGGGGGCTGGGGGCCGGGCTAGCACCTCCCGCCCCACCAGCGGCTGCAGCACGGGGGGCACCCGGACACGACCATCCTGGGCAAGGGGGTGACAAAGGTGGGGTTAGCCCCTCCGGAACCCCCAAACCCCCTCCTAAAGCCCCAAATTACCTTGAAACCCTTGCCAAAACACCCACCGGGAGCTGGTTGCACTCGAGGAGTGCAATGAGCATCCGTGACACAGCGCAGGCAGTGCCATTCACCTGGAGAGGGGGTGGGTACAGGATCAGGATGGGGCTAAGGGAACCCCCCCCAGGATTTTTGGGGATCTCCCAGGGGTTTTAGAAGGTCACCCACCGTGTGGGCATGGCTGAGCTGGCCCTCCTCGGTGCTGTACATGATGTTCAGTCGCCGGCTCTGGTAATCAGTGCAGTTGGAAGCACTGGAAATCTGATAGTGGTAGGGAGAGAGGGGTCAGGAGGTTTTGGGCACCCCCTTCCTCGACTTCAGGGACCCACCACAAAAAAGGGGGTACTGATCTGACAGCAAGTGCATGACTATAACGGGTCCATAAACAGGGAGGGAGGGGATGAGGGAGGTGGCACTCTAGGCACTTCAGAATTTTTGGGAGTTTTCCCAGAATTATTTGGATTCTCCTCAAATTGTTGGGGCTTTCCCCAAATTATTTGGGCTCTCCCCAAGTTTATTGGGTTCTCTCTGAATTATCGGGGTCCTACAGCCCCTCTCACCTCCCCAAATTTGCCTCGTCCAGGCATCCAGGCCTCGATGTCGAACTTGCGGTAAGCGGGGAGCCCCAACTCTTCCGTGGGCATGTCCAGGACTCTGGGGGGACCCAAGGGGGGTTTGTTATGAGGCACTTAGGGGTCCCACAGACTGGGGGGACCCTCCCAAACTCCCCTCACCGGTAATGGAGCCCGAGCTCAGAGAAAATCTCCTTCTGGAGCCCCAGGAACTCATCCAGCAGCTCCTCGCTCTCTGTCCCATGCTCAGCCGCTGTCACCCCAAACATCTCCACCTTCAAGGAGGAGCCACACGGTGTGACCCTCCAGCCTTTCCCACACCCTCCCCAGGGGTCTCCCAATGCTCCCAGTACCTTGGTGAACTGGTGAACACGGTAGAGTCCCCAGGGCTCCCTGCCAGTGTCGGTCTCGGCACGGTAGCAGGTGCTGGAACATACGACCCTGGTGGAGGGCACGGGTTGGGAGGGGCCCAAAACGCCACAGACTTCCCAAGGAATATAGGTGGGATTCCCAAAAGGGAAGGTGGTCTCTGGACACAACACCCCCCATACCTGATGGGCATGTCCTGCAGCCGCACTGCGTGGTCCATGAAATACCCTGCATGGGGGGCAGAGTAAGCCTCAAATCTGTCTGGCCCCCTTTCCTCCCCCTTTTTCCCTCCCATTCTTCTTCTCCTCCTGGTTTTCAGTCCGTTTTTTCCCATGTTTTCCCCATTCTCCCCTTGGTTTTCCCTGCTTCTTCCCCAATTCCCCATCTTTTCCTGTTCTCTACCTATTGTTCACTCTTTTGTCCCCCATTCTCCCCCTATTTTTTACAATCTTCCCCATATTCTCCCCTGTTTTTCCCCATTTTCGGCCATATTTTCCCCCTGGTTCTCCCCCTCCATTTCTCCCCCTGGCTCTTCCCCATTTTCCCCTATTTCCCACCTGCAATTCCCACCTCCGAGGTCCCAGCCAGGCATAGATCCTCGAAGCGTGCAGGGTCGATGGTGTAAACTTGGGAGGGGGCAGCACTGGGCTGGACCCCACAGCCCTCCTGGGGGACAGAGGGTGTCACCTGGGATCACACAGGGGTCAGAGGGCTTGAGGGGCTTGGGGGTCACTCACAAAAACGGCTCCTCGCARCAGGTCCGGCACCGTCATGGGCAGGAAACCCTGGGAAGAAGGGATGTCAGGAGACCCTGACTCCGTGCATGCCCCCCGAGCCTCCCTGGAACACCCTAGATAATCCCTGGATGCCCCCCAGATCATCCCACACCCTCACCCCCAATCCTCCCTGGATTACTCCAGGTCATTCCCCCCGCACCTTGCTGAGCAGCTTCTGCAAGGTGAAGGTGACGAGGGCGTGCTGGAGCAGAGCCCCAGCCCCGCACAGGTAATAGGAACGATGGCCCGACACGTGTGACAGGCGCCTGCAGGGGTGGGACAGGTGTGGGACAGGCGTGTGACGTCTGTGTGACACCCCCCCCACCCTGACACACACAGGTACACCACAGATGGGTGACAGGTGTGTCCCCCCTCCAGGTGTCACTCACCTTTGCCGGATGATGTCCAGCCCCTCGCCCAGCTCCAGGTGTCCCTTTGGCTTGAAATCAAACACTGGGGAGGGGAACAAGGGGGAACCTTCATCCCCTTTGTCATCCCAGATCCTCCATAACACTCAGGCCCCCAAACTGCCCCAAATCTTGTCTCCCGCCCCAAATCCATCGTCAGCCCCTCCCCAAATTCTCCATCACCCACAAACCCCTCAGATCCTTCATTTTCCCCCCAAGAGCCCTTCTCCTCCTCCCTTCCACCAAAACCCTCCCAAGGACCTCTCAAAAGATACCCCCCTCCTTACCTGGTTTCTCCCCAACCAGCTCGAGCAGCCGGGCCTGACTCTGGTCCCCAACGGGCTGGGGGGACACAAGTGAGAGTTTGGGGGGCCAAGGAGACCCCCAAATGACCCAATGCCATGGGTTAGGGAATTTTGGGGGGGATTTTGGGGATTTCACCACAGCTGGGTGACTTCTATCGGCTTGGGTGGGTTTTCGGTGGTTTTGGGGAGGTTTTTAGGGTCTCACCACAGCAGGATGGGTTCTGTTGGGCAGCTGCAAGGCCCCCAGATAAAATCTTTGCTCCAGGTCAGATTCCTCAGCCTCAAGTGCCCGGAGCTGTCCACGGAGGCTTCGGCCCTGCTCCCGCAGTGCTGCCAGCTCCAGGAGCTGCTGGGAGGCTTCCGTGAGAGGATGGGGGGGGTCCGGGAACCCCCACCAAGTCCCCCCCAAAATTCGAGTCCTACCGTCTCAGCTGCCACCTTGTCACGGGAGGCCTGGGGGAGAAAAGGAGTCAGTGGATCTGGGGGCTCCAGGGAGTTTGGGGGGAAGAAACAGGGTCGAGGTGGGGGGAGGTTAAGGTTCTTGGAGCAGTTTGAGGGAAGTGGGAATGGAATCCGGGGGTGTGTTCCAGAGGGAACTGGGGGCTCAAAAGGGGAATTAATGATTCTGGTACGGTGCCACGGGAAACTGAGGGTTCCAAGGGGAACCGAGGGATCCAGAGCCTCCCGGGAGACCCGAGAAAAGCTGGGGGAAATCCCGAGGGTCTCACCATGATCTTGTGGACCCCTTGGGCCACACGTCCCTTCTCAGCCTCCAGCCGGGCAATGCTGTCCTGTACCTGCCGCAGCCGCGACCACGTCCGCACCTGAGGGCATAGACACGGCGTGGCTCAGGTGGGGGGCCGGGACACAGCCACACGAGGGTCCCCAGGCCCGGCTTATTTAATCTTAGACACGCCACTTTTATCAGGCCACGTCCATACTGCAAACTACTAGATAATGTCCATATTCCAAACCACGCCCCTCCTGCCACCGATACCCCACCCCTCATGCATCAAGCCACACCCATGTTTTACGCCTCTTGCCCCCTCACGAATAAACCGCACCCTGAACCCAAGCCCCTCTTTAGGCCCCGCCCAACCCCGTTGCCGCCACTCACGATCTCCCTGAGAGCAGCACCCCGCAGCGGCCCGCGTCGCCGCTCCACGTCGCGCTCGCTGAGGGCGGTCACGTCGAGCTGCGGCCGCGCGCTCAGCCCCTCCCGCACGTGCTCGTACAGGCGGCTGCGCGCCGCCACGGCCCCGGCACCGGCCCCAGGAGCGGCACCCCGG